AAGTTATTATTTGGGATGGGTTCAGGTCATCTGAGACAGTGATAGCAAACACATGGAAGACATACCTAACATATGCCCTTAAGAAAAAAATTCAGATCTGCAGGGAAAATACTGACTCGGAACAGTTTTTGAAGCAAATATATATGTGTGTGTATATATATATATACACACACACACACATATATATATATATGTATATATATAAAAATAAACTCCAAGCTCTCTCCTCTTCCAGTCTTTACATGTTCTCCCTATGCATAATAATCTCAATTTTATCCCTTGACTTACCCAAAGGGCAATCACTTCTACAGAAGCCTGTAGCAACTCACTCAAACTGGCTACATAATGCAGAAAGACTTACAACATGCTTTTACCCATTGGCTGCATCTTTTGAGCAAAAGTGCTCAAGGAAAGTCAAGCCTGAGCCACCAAAGACCAATATCTGAAGACCTCCAAAAGGCTCCACCTTCCAGGGGGCTTATGGAAATAAGCTGCCTAGCACACACACAAAAAAAACAAAAAACAAAAAACCACAGTATCTAGTGCTAGAAGCCTTCAGCTCTGTGAATCTCCCTTCAACTTCATTAAGTGGAGAGACTACCTTACCTGTCAGAAAAGCACAAAACACCCACCTCAGGGAGCTGTTTGCACACTTTTCCATCATTCTTCGTAATCTGACTGCAAGAAAATACACATTAGGGCCATTTCATAACTTTTCCATCTAGTTCTGTAGAGCATTCAAGCACACCGGGCCCGCCACACTTTTAGCTTCTCCCACGCTGCAGTTAGAAGTTTATCAATTACGCTTTCCTCACGTGCTTTGCAAAGCTATACGCAAACACGCGTTTGCAGTCAGATCCCAACCAACCGGTTAGTAAATATATATTATGTGTATCAGCTTATATAAATCTCATGGCAGACAAGTTGATCTGAGCAGTGCCAGCGTCTCCAGGAGCACAGCAAGTGCCACTTTGGGCCTAGTTAGAGGTACATTAGTGTAGACCTACATAGTGCTTCGCTAGTAAAACCACACTGAGGCTTAAAGTTACAAAATTCATGGCTTTGCTAGCCCTAGAGAAACCAATTGCTACGAGGTCTCTAATTGCTGTTCTTTTCAAGCAATGAAAGTTAAGAACGCCCTTAGCTGATAAGTATTCCCTGTAGTGGCAGGGCAGAGGCACACTGCGTTCCTTAGTGCTGGCTTTTATCCTCTTTTACACCCAGAATCTCCTCTGGAGACTTTCCAACCCGCCTGGACGCGTTCCTGTGGGGCTGCCCTGGGTGACCCTGCTCTGGCAGGGTTGGCACTTGGGGATCTCTGGAGGTCCCTTCCAACCCCCAACATTCTATAATTCTGTGATTAACGAAGCCCTGTGTCAGTGCCCGCGCTGTGCACGACGTACCAAAGGCAAACATCACGTCACCAACCGCCGTGGGGCTGCTGTTACCGCGGTGCCACCCGCTGCCAGAACGTCACAAATCAGATGAATTATCTGACGTGCACTGAAGTCATTTTACTCGGCCTGCAAAGAGATTATTTTTATACGATTCTCCAAGTCCTCGTTACAAAAATTCAGGTAAGGATTTAAAGTGATTCTCACAGCCAGGACGCTGTCAAGGAAGACGCTTTACAGAGCAATAACCAACTAAAAAAGTGCCTTTGTGTGCTTGGTTACAATCTAGATTTCCCAGTCACAGGACACAGTTACACTTGTCTGTTAAGGCTCCTTCAAACCAGGAATAAGCCTCCAAGCAAACATTTGTTTTCAGCACAGCAATGCATTTTAAATCCCAAATATCTCATATCCTTGTAAGCATAAATTGATCAAGCAAATATACCAAAGCAGTTTTAAACAGGACTTCTGTTGTGCTCAGACACCATTTTGAACTCCAGCTGCATCTCCTCCTGACAATACCACAACAGAAGATGAAACTTCTTAAGTATAAAAAGCGGCGCATGTATGTTATACCAAACAGTTAAGGAAGTTGATTTTTCAGTCACCAGAAATCCCAGTTAAGGAAAAAGCCCCAGATGAGGTACACTACTGTTAGAAACAAAAATAGTCCTGGTCACCTAAAATTTAGTGCAGAGAATTAACATCTAACTGAATCTGAAGTTAGCTTCATCATGCATCTCCTACAGAGGCAGATTAATTCTGGCCAACACTTTAAAAAGCAAATAAATCTTCAAACATTATTAACTAGCTGCAGTAGTAGTATAAAGGAAACTGATTTTTGCATTGTGTTGCTGAATGCAGAATTATACGTCACACACAGGATTCCCAGCAATACTCCTCTTCGGCTCAGAGACAGGCTACACGATGAAACACCCTTTTGATCTCAACTATTTACAGATAAAACCTTGAAAACCTTGCTTTCTTGCTTCTTACTCAGACCTAACTTCAACTGGCTTGTGCTGCTTGCCAGCAGCTGTAAGAGACAATATTTGTAAAAAAAATCAGAGAAACGCCCAAAACACAATCCTACAAGAAATAGAATCCTCCGCACCCAAAACACTCATAATTTTAGACAGAAGAGAAAATTGAGGGTAGGTAAAGGACACAAAACCTACGAATGTTTCTTTTTCCCTGGACTTTGAAAGGATTAAATAATTTAAGTAAAATAAGATCACACTAGTGTGAAGTGGTTTTATTCTATTAATTACTACCTGCAGTTCCACGCTGCAGCAGCACTCCCGCTCCCGCAGACAGAGTAGCCCCACTCCCAATCCCAACTCACGCCGTGCGTCCTGCTTGCTGCCCCCACAAGTACCGTGTGGTTGGGCTTCAGGATCAGAGTCTATCAATCTCAAGGGGCCCATCTCAATTATTTAATTATCACCTTTACAACCATACAAACACTCATCCATTTTGGTACGAAATCCTACAGCTAGCAAGCACATTTTAAGTGTTTTGATGTGCGCAGGAACACACACACACGGACACAGCACAGAAACAGATGTAGGTGCAAGTATTTCAGACCAACCGAAGAATTATTTTCCCCATGCTAAGCTTCCGTAACACACACAAAGCACTAGTGTCTCTCTCCAGATGAGATGTCTGCACATACAAAAAGTTACAGCCTGCTTTCATGTTGATCTAATGTCACATCCTTACAGTGTGTCATACCCCAGCACCTGGCGTTTCGCACACCAAGGACTATTTTTACCTGCATGCCTGCATAACAAGCAGCCACGCGATGGCACTGTGTAACCAGCTTCAGTGCCTTAGTTATAGGCATTTCTGTAAAATTGGGCTTAGACTTTTTTCCCCCAGCTCATTTGAACTGGTGATGATAAAAAGTCAGAGGAAAAGGTGTTTTATCACTTTATTTTATAGTTACTACAGCTTAGCTCCTGCGGCTGATAGCCTGTAGCTATCAAATTTTAATTTCAGCCAAGATGGTCAAGCCATTTCAGTATCAAATATTACTACAATGCAATTAAGGATCAGCCAAAACCTGAACTATCTATATAGAATTTCCTTAATTGTATTTTTTTCTGTTAGCTTGATATTCCTCTGAATTCTTTGAAGATTCAAATGAAAGACAAGAAACTAGAGAGAAATTATTGTATAATCTAATACTACCATTACAAGTTCGAGGAAGAAACGGAACGAACAGCTGCCTTCATTTCATCAGATGTCTTACAACTCAGAAACAGCAAATTTCTAGTCCTAATGGATTGATGGTCAGAACTTGAAACAGCACAATTCCTAAAAGGCTCATCTATCTCCTGATGAGTAAAAAGCATTAAGGAAATGAAACATTTCTAGAGGAAACATCCAGACCTAGACATCTGTGAAAATAGGTATTCTCTGCTCTGCCCATTACCCTTTTCAAGACTAAAAGGAGCCTTCATTACTCATGTCATCACAGCAGGGCAAAAGCATTTTCTTGAGCACCCACAAGCCAGACAGCCTGCTGGAAAACACAAGGGCTCCTTGGCTGCCTGCACTTTAAGGTTTCCTAGAAATGACAGCGTGGAAGGAGTGTGGCTACATATTCCCATCTCATTTTCACATGCAGTCAGGTTGCAGCCAGTGTGCTTCCAAAAAGCAGACCCGAGGGAGGCAGCACTGACCCATGCTACATTAACCCCATTCCCTCCCTAGAGCATTTTCACCTTTTACTCAGCCTGCAATCATTAAAACACATTTCTTAAGACACTACCGGAAGCATGAGCTGACAAGCTGGCCTGGCCACTGCAGGCACTTCTAGTGCCACGGTGTGATGGCAAACTCAACACAGCAATTCCTCCTGTTCAGGAGTCAGGGGCAGCCTGGAAGAGCAGAAAGGCCACCTTCCCCGGCAGGTGGTTCACATGAAGGATGAGCTAAAAGCTGAAGGCAGCTCAGGCTGCTCTAATCTGACAAGATCAGAGGATTGTCCAGGGACTATAAAACCAGTTTAACTTAAGTGAATGCTAACCACCTGCACAACTGACTTAAGTGATGAAGAACTGGGGTTAAAGCCATTACAGCACCAGAGAAAAGACTACTTGAAGGACAGGGTTCCTCAGAGCACAGAGTACCCAGCACTGACAGCCACACAGTGCTGTGACAATTAGAAGTAGTTTACAGTTCCATAAAAATACAGCTATACCATCTTGGACAACCAATGTGAACAGCAAACCGAGAAAGGAAAAACACCAGAAGAGTACTAGCTCTAGTACTTACACCAGGTATACAGATTAATTTTGAACCCTTGCATGTTTAATAAACACAATTGTTCAAACAATGAAGGCAGAAGGTCCTCCTGACCCATCATGACCATTTAGTCTAATGAGGAGGTACCAGCTCCCAGAAATGGTTCACAACAGTGTATTAGTCTTGCTTAGAAGCTTTAACTGCTTGTTATATACCCTCCTTTTCAAAGCACTACTTCACTGCTTACATGTCAGACCTTCTGACAATAGACAGGGCCAGTGTTATACAGGTTAGCCTTTATTAAAGTACAGAACCACAGGAAATTTGAACTCAATAGAAACTTAAGAACACGCATTAAAGGTCATAATTTGGAGATGGCATATCAATGATCTCATTCAGGGTAGCAAGGAAGTCAGCAGTTGATTGTAGCAAGTCTGAAATTTAGAAATAGAGCAAATCAGTTTCTCACGAAACCCAGAACTTGTGCTCTCTACAATAAGCTAGCTCCCAGTGGATTAGCATAAGCCTCTTAACTAAGTGAAACAGTGCTTGACTGCAGTTCCACCTAAATGCAAGAGACTGCTCAGCAGCATCACTTTGAGACCACTACCTGTACTAGTAGGGTTGTCTAGTTACATTCAGCTTGACTGTACACCAAGAGCTGTTTGGTACCAGTGTGCTATTTAGCGGTTAAGACAGCAGTAGCAGTTCCCTACAGCAGCCAACTAGCTTCCCCCCAAAACCACCACTAACAAAGCTCAGGCTAAGTTTCCACTTACTAGACTCCCAGGAAGTCTCCTCAATCTTCACAGGTGAAGGAACCAAGCTCACACGTCTGTCACGTGTCCTTTCAAACACCATGAGCGGAACACCACACAGGTTGATATTGCTTAATTTGTCCTCCTCGGGAAGATCAAAACTCTCGAAATCTGTTTAAGAAAGACACACTGTAGTTTAGGAACAGCGTCCAGTTGCAGTAGCATGGGCAGCTGCAGTTTCTCCCACATTAAATGAAGCAGGAACAAGTCCAAAACACCACAATCCAACAGTCCCCTCTTATGAGGTATTTGCAGTTACACTTTAGCTGACCAGAATACACCAGTACTCAAAAAGAAAAATTATACTGCATAACTACAGTTATTAGTAAATTAGCAGGAGCTTTTACTAATTTCTCTCCAATCACTATACAATCAACTTCATCAAGCACAGCATGTTTCACTAACACGGAAGTAATCTTTGTTACTGTAGTTTTTGCACACTTACTTCCACACAAGCCGTATGGTTTAAGGACACACTTTTAAGGACTGAAATAGCACAAGCCCATTGCAAATATTCTAAGAACAGTCTTAACAGTTTCATCTTCAACTATTAAATGCTACAGCAGAAGGAATCTCTTCAAATTACCATCTTGGCATACACTAGGAGAAGTCCCCTCTTCAGGATTGCTTCAGCTTTGAATACTTGTTTACTACTTGGCATTTAACAAATTAAGAGGCTCTAGCAGGCTTTTTTGGAACTGATTTCCCAATACTATAATAATAGACTCTGACTACTACGTATCTGGAGCATGGCTATTGCAGGTAATAAGAATGAGACAGCATTTCAGAAGTAGCAGCCACCCTTACGAAAGGACTCCAGAGAAATGCCATGATAGCTTGTTTGCCACAACAGCTTGGCCAACGTCTTACAACAATGTCAACACTTATGGAAGCCTGATTGTTCATTTTAATAATTACACCGACACCAGTAGTTCTCACCTCGGGGATCAAAAGGAAACATATTTTCTATTTCTGGCCAGTCTTCTTCAGCCACTGTATCACAGCTTTCTAACCCAGCAGTCTTTCCAGTAGTCTTAAAAAGAGAAAGTCACATTATTTGAGCTCCTGTAGTACCTCTGTAGTGGCTTTCCTGTGGGATACATGTCTGCAGACAAGAACGTCCACCACACAACCCTCAGTTATGCTAAATTCTAACACTTTCAACACAAACAAGATGGGCAAATGCTTCAGTTTATGTAGTGCAGTACTACATACAGTGGCAACAAATCACTGCACTACAACATTTAGGCTCGTATCTTAAACTCCTGATACTTAACACATGAATGAGACATTTGCTCAGGCTATTTTCTATAGAGACATTGCTCTGCCATTAGGTAACCCCTAAGCTGTTGTAGTCTTTGTGCCTATGTAGGCAGATTGGTTTTGGCTAGGGGAGTTATTTTTCTTCCTAGTAGCTCCTATATCCCATTTTAGCTTTGTGATGAAAACAATGTTGATAACACAGCTGGTTTTGCTACTGCTGAACACTGTTTACACAGTATCAAGGCCTTTTCTGCTCCTCACCCTACCAGCGAGGAGGCTGAGGGTGCACATGGAGTCGGGAGGGGCAGAGGCAGGACACACAGCCCCAGCTGACCAAAGGGATCTTCCAGACCATGCAATGACACGCTAAGCAACAAGAACTGGTGGGAAGTTTGCAAGGGCTGCCATTGCTCAAAAACTGGCACAGTCAGCTGGTGGTGAGAAAGTGGTTTTACAATTTTTAGTTATTAAATTGTTTTAATCTCAACATAGGAGTTTTCTCACTTCTACGCTTCCAATACTTTCCCCCATCTCACTGAGCAGGGAGGGAACAAGCTTGGCTGCCGGTCAGGGTTAAGCCACAGTACTAGGCAAGCCGTGCTTTTTTTATTTCCCCACTCCATAGAAGCGCGTTGTACTCACTTTGTTTGCAGCGCAAGGCTGATTCTTCTGTTTCATCTTTTCTGTCTTGTTTGTGACTCCTTCAGTTCTATTCACATTTCCAAGAGCCTTTCTGACAGAGTGAGCTGTGGCTGGAGATGTGCCGATTGTTTTCTTAGGAAGTGGAGTGTTAACCTGTGTTCTTTCAGATAATACTCTTGCTGGAAAGTGAGGGAAGAAAAAAAAAAAAAGGCAAACTTAACAGCATATCAATCCTAAACCTTGCTTCAGTAAGTGCACATGCTAGAAAACTAGTTGTCACAAATCACTGTTAACCATTTGTCACAGAATCACAGAATGTCAGGGGTGGAAGGGACCTCAAAAGATCATCTAGTCCAAGCCCTCCTGCCAAAGCAGGATCACCTAGAGCAGGCGACACAGGAACGCATCCAGCCATGGTAACCATGGTGGTATCCACCTGTCTGCAAATTTTTCCCTCTACAAAATGAGTGTAACTTACTCCCTTGCCAGGGTGTTGTGAGAGTTTGTCGCTTGTGTTAATTGCTACTTAATGTCTTT